CTCTATGGCTATCTGGGAAATTATTTCTGTTTTGAATTTTTCTAGAGCCTGATTGATCTGTTTTGTTACTTCCTGTGCTTTGAGTTCAGGGTGTCCTGGTGGTGCACTATAGGCCTTTTCATCCTCATTTGCCCTACTGTTTGCCATTGGTGAACTGGAATTCTGTCTTTGTGTTTTGCTTAAGTGTTTTCTTGTTTTCATTGTTGTTGTCAGGCTGTCCTTGGTTTAATCTGTTGGTTTTCACCCAAATCTTCCTGATATAGTTGTGCCCTAGCTTCTGGGTCTGTAATGACCCACAGACATTCTCATCTTCATAACATCAGAGAAAACAGCTCATTGAATCAACCACAATCCTTTATCCCAACTGATACAATCAGCAACACATTATGATCAAGCACAACTCAGAAAATGACCCCCTATGGTAGTCATTAGTCTATCACCATTAAACCATTTGAATTAAATGGAAATTAAGAAGCTGCCCAAAACATGTCTGCAGTGAACAAACTTTTCATTATAGTATATTTACCATTTAATGGCTCAGACAAAGCTAGGATCCAAGACCCCTGATCTCATTTAGCTGATGGCTGAACCCCATGATGCATACTGACCTCAGGCTGCAAGGCCCAGACTGAGTTCCCCAACCTTCTGAATGATTGAACTCCACCCCGTTCTACTACAGGTTTACCATGCCCTTTAATTAAAGATGGTCAAAGTTGCGAACTCAGAAAAATACCCTTGATGACCATCTGTGCCTCTGCAGAGTGGGTTCAAAGACTGGCGCAAGCAGGAGTTATGACAGTGTGGTGGGGGCGGAAAGAGGCATTATGGGGTTCAGGGGCGCCCACATGCTACCTTCCTGGTGCTGGAGTGATGGCGGCCCCAAGTGGGAGAGGGTGTGGTTCTCCTTCCCGGGTGGATTGGGCCCCAGGCTACCTTCCTGGTGCTGGAGTGATGGCAGCTGTGGCGGGAGAAGGCGTGGCTCTCCTTCCCCTTCCCGTGGTGGATTGGGGCCCAGGCTACCTTGCTGGTGCTGGAGCAATGGTGCCTGGGGCAGGAAAAGGCATGCCTCCTGATGAGCTTTCCTTTGAATGTGATTTATTTCTTTTCTCTTAGTGCTTGTAGTATTTTGTTCTTTTGTTGGATTTCTGGGATTTTACTATTATATGTCTAGGTGTAGGTTTTGTTTTTTGTCCTTGGCTAATTGGAGTCCTGTATGCCTCAATCTGTACATGAAATTCTTCCCCTCTGTTTGGCAAGTTTTCTGTCATTATTTCTGTGAACAATTTTTTTTTTAATGTTATTTGTAATTTCTCCTGCTACTTCATGGATTCCTTTCAGCCTTATACTGTTATTCTTCTTTGCATCATCTGGGAATTGTTGGATCGATTTCTCATGATCCCTTACTGTTTCTAAGAGATCTCTCTTTTGATGGTCAAAGACTGCAACCCTATCTTCTATATGTGAAATTCTATCTTCACATTCATCCATTCTGCTGAGAACGCTTTCAGTAGAGTTTGTAATCTCCTGGATAGCTGTTTGAATCTGTTTCATGGATTCCATTTCTTTCCTATTTTGGACATTCATGATTTCCATTTTCTTCACATGCTGGGCATTCATGGCTTCTCTCATGGTCCTGTGCGCATCTATTTTTATCAGTTTCTGTTGTAGAGTCTCTAATTACATCTTTCATTGTGCTCACCATCTCTGTAGTTATCTGGGAAATTATTTCTGTTTTGAATTTTTCTAGAGCTGGATTGATCTCTTTTGTTACTTCCTGTGCTTATGGGTTCAGGGTGTCCTGGTGGTTGATTGTCAGAATTTGTCACCTCTTTTCCTCTAGAATTTGCCATTGGTAAACTGAAAGTCTGTATTTGTGTTTTATGTGTTTGCTCATTTTTATTTTAGTTGTTGGGCTGTCTTTGATTTAATTCCTGGGTTAGTACTTTCATCTTCCTGATATAGCTGCTCTTTTTGAGCATCTCATGACTTAGAGACACTCTCATTTTCATAATATCAGGAAGGACAACTGATTAAATCAATCACAACTCTTTAGCCAACTTGATACAATCAGCAACACAATAGCATCAAGCACAGCATAGAAATTGACCATTTGTAGTATTAATCTATCACCTTTAACCACATGAATTAAGTCAAAATTGAGGACCAGCCCAAAATATGTTTATAGTGAATAAACTCTTCAACATAGCTAATTTATCCTTCAGGATGGGGACTTAGAAGTGGTTGGGAGGAGAAGAATAGATAGGTAAAAGGATAGGAGAGTGTTTCCAGTGAAGCCAGAGGACACAGGATAATCACACAAACACTAAGAAACTGGTGAAGACAAGAGGGAAAGATAAGTGCAAGAAGAAAGGGAATAATAGAACAACTTAACAGTAATAGGGAAGCTATGACTTGTACTCACTTTCCTTTGAAACTAATGCCCGCCCATCAAGCAAAGGAAAATGAGAGATGAAAAGAAAAAGAAATAAGAAATCCAAATTAGGGCAGGAAGAGGAACAAAAATAGAGATGAAGAACAATGTGAGGGGATCAAGTGACTGAGCAGGAAAAAGAAGAAAGCAAAAAGGAAGAACATGCAGAATGGGTAGAAAAAAGTTTTAAAAATAAAAATTAAAAATAGGAAAAGAAAGAAAAAAAAATTTGAAGAGCCTCTTTCAGGGTATATCTCTGCTGTCACATTAGACAATGTTGGTAGCCATGTGCACAACAAAGTCAAGTAGTCTCAGCTAGTCAAAGGCAGAGCCCTGGGCTTCACGCTGAATTCTGGCTGCAAGTTTACCTCCCTGACCTCTTGCAGGGTTGAACTTTGCAAGGTTCTACTACAGGTTCCAACTGCCCTTACCGTGATGATAGTCCTGTTCTGATGAAAGGAGGTGATCCCTCCAACCTACCAACTACAGAGGTGTGATGTGACTTTATGGCAGTTGTTCACTTCTGTTCTATCTTCTGAAGCTAAGTAAAATGGCCTTTATAACCACCTGTGTCTCTGCAGTGTGGATCCATGTACCAACACAACCAGGCAGCCTGGGAGCATGGGGCAGGGTGGTGGTGAGATGCTGGAGAGGCGGCTGGACAGTTCTCACTAGTCTACTCTGATGAAGGGCTGGGGTGCTGGAGGTGGAGGAGGTGGAGAAGCAGCGAGCTTCCTGCATATCTGGGCCAAAACTTGTATCACATAGATGATCCCTAAATCTGAGCTGGCTGCAGCAAGGCTTAGGTGGGCTATGGCTATAGCTAAATCTAAGTGCCTGGAAGTTTGAGTGGATGTGAACAGTTTCTTAGACAGGTGCAAGTTAGAAGAGAACCTTAAGTTTAACTTCTAAAATTAAATTAATCAAAGAAAATTTACACTTTTACACCTTTGAGCCTGCAGTAGGTCTGGTCTTTCTGATTGTTGTGTTAGCCTCAGCAAATCTTTCGTCTTGTCCAGATAGAAAGCATTTTGTTTGTTTTTAATGATAGTAATCTCATCAGCAAGCAGAAATTACACTTCTTTTCTGGCCAACCTGAAAGTTTTTCAGATCTTTTCACTGTGCTATTTGCTCTTTATTCTCAGTATAATTCTGGCCAAAAGCAAGCAGCAGTACCATACAACAGCTTAAACATTGGACTGAAATTTGCTCTGCTAGATCAATTAATCCATTGTCTTTAAACTTAGCCTCACACAGAGTTTTAGGACATTGATAAACCATACACAGATTCTTTCCCTGATTATAACATGAACGGCCTCTGGTTAAATTCCCAGTAGTACTCATTCCTACCTCAAGTGTCTTAACTGAATTCTTTAACTGACTTCATTCTTATTTGCATTCTGATCTTCTACACTTGGAACAGTATTGCCTATTAAGATGTATTAAATAGTATTTTGGTCTTTCTCTAAACAACTATTGCAAAATTTTCCCTCCTCCTCCTTCAGGCCAATTCAAAGGCTTTTGAATCACAGTGTTACGTAGGTTCAAAGCAACAACTTTACTTCTTTGGTATTAATTTTCTGTATCATTCAGCTTGTCATTAATGGGAAAAATACTTAACATACACAACTTAAAGGAGAAAAGGTTTATTTTAGCTCACAGATTCAGAGGTTTCAGTCTATGGTCACCTGGCTCTATGGTAAAAATATGATGGTGAAGGGTATGATAGAGGAAAGCTGCTCACAGCATCTGGGAAGCAATGAGCAATGATAGAGCCTAAGAGGAAGGGGTGAGGGACCAGAAAAATCCCCAAGGTCACACCCCCAAGACCTAGACACACCCAGAAGCATGCTTTATTAATCTTCTGGGTGTTTCTAAAGGCAATCCAATTGAAAATCAAGATTAACTCTCAAATATATTTATTCCACATTTTCTTTATCCATTCATACATTGATGAACATTTATGGTGATTCCTTAGCTTTAGTGAATAATGGTATAATAAACATAGGAGCAGAGATATTTCTATGCTTTATTTATTTCAATCCTTTTGGATATATACTCAAAAGTGGAGCTGCTGGATCATATGATAGTTCTATTTTTAACT